ACCTGTTTTGGGTTTACTGGTTTCAAGAAGCACTGTCTGATGTGAACCATGCCTTCGCAGAAAAGAGCTCTCAGAAGACCTACGATCAAGAATTGTTGACTTGCATGAAGCTGGAAAGGGTTACAAAAGTATCTCCAAAAGCCTTGATGTTCATGTGTCCACGGTAAGACAGACTGTTTGGTTTGGTTGAGGTTATTGCTGCCAAAGGAGGGTCAACCAGTTATTAAGTCCAAAGGTTCACATACTTTTTCCTCCCTGCACTGTGAATGTTTACATGTTATGTGCAATTAAACCATGGCAACATCTAATGTTTGTGTAATATTATGTTCAGCAGGCTGTGTTCTTCTATTTTTGTGACTTAGATGAAGTTCAGAGCACATTTTATGCCCAATTCATGCAAAACTCCACGTAATCCTAAGGGGTTCACATACTTTTTCTTGCAACTGTATACACGTATGCAGGCTAAACCAGAGAAATCTAACAGATTCCTCCATCCATGCTAACAGTGCGCATGGACGAATTGCAGGATACAGCCTATTGTATTCTGACAGCCGGAGCTGCTGGTTGTCAGAATACCTGAATAGTGACTGCATCTGATTGGATGAGCCACTGTTCTGCCACCAATTTTCCACTTGGCTCCTTCAAAAAAGGAATACATGCTGGAGGAGGGCAATTTCCCGTAATCATAAGTAATTTCCTTCCAGCCATTCAAGAGGTTTCTCTGGATTTGAAGTCTACCACTTTTTTCTAGTGCCACCAAAGTATATCTGACAGTTTTTAAGTCTCAGAGCATAATAGGGTGAGGCGCTAATGCAGAGAATGCTGTACTGTACGACCATTTTCCCAATGTCAGCTACTTTTTGGAACTCAACTGCTACCAAGTCTTTTAGCTGCATAGATCAGAAATTTCAGCTCACATATTTGCTTTATGGTCTCCTTTAAGGCAGAATAAAGCAGAACTAATCTGCATGTTGGCAGCCCTCTATCTAAAAAACTGAGACCATTGTGTCATGAGGTTATATTCAGAGATCCAAATTGCTCTATAAAAAAGTTTTTGTGTATTACAGAATTACTAAAAAAGGGCAGTATGGGGCAGTAGTAAAACATGCATGAGACAGGGGCCCTCATGAATGGTCTAAACAGGAGTTTCAGGCAGATAAGGCAAAGGAGCAAACACAATTTCCATGCAGGAGGGCTTTGTACAACAAGTCCATAGCATAAAATAGGCAAAACATCTGCTAGTCTAAACCTCTGACTAAACTCAGTTGGATTTCTAACAGAGTGCCCTCTACTGGGTTCCACAAACAAACAGAAAGCATTTGTACCTTTTTTTAGTGTTCTGTCAACACTCAACCTTTTCACCTAGTAGAAGAGATAGCCCCAATCATTTGTCAGCTCACTAATATAAAGGCCAGTAGACAGCTGAGTCTAATAATGAGTACCTGCTACCAGGTAATATGTGGGCCAAGGAACGAAGCCTTTATCCCATCCAAAGCTCTAAAAAGCCTTCAGGCTCCAGGGCCAAGCAAGAAATGGTTAAGATTTTGAGAATACAAAATGTTTGTTTTCTCCACATAAACCACAAACCTTGGAGCCCCTCACCATGTGTAGGTAAGAAACCAAAGTGACACATACAAACTAACAATAATTCTGCTAAGCCTATGCCTCACAGGCAATATTTCAGTTTTGAGTTTAAGTAATACGGATAAAATACAGAGTTGGTATAAGCACCTGAGATACATTTCACATCAAACGCCTGTATTTAATTCCTGCTATATATCATGAATTCAATAAATGCCTTGCTTAGAAGATTATATATTTTAATGGTTGAATATGGAAACCCTTTTTCATGCTGCCCCCAGATAATTCCCCCCTGAACAGAGTACCAATATATCAGTAAATCATATATATAGTTCATAATTAAAGAAAATTAGCATTTAAATGACACATGCGACAAAACCATTCCAATTTTTTTCTTTCATGGTCACTTTCAGTGGCCTAATTTAGTAAAGCTGTTAATCTCAGTTTCTAAAGACACTAGGAGAGGTATTACATGCCTGAACACTTTCTGTGAACGATCACCCCTCATATTCCATTAGTGAAAGACACGTATAGCTTGTGCCTAATCCCTGATTAAAGTGATAGGTAAAAGCCACCTTCTATCGCATCCTTGAAGGACTTCTGGGCCTGAAGGACCATGGCAAAATGAATCCATGCCCTTGTTAGTCTCTATCATTAAATGTTCGAATTTCTATGACATTTAAATCTTATTCTCAAAATATGCTTGAAGAGCAATTCCAGGCAAAATTTTAAATCAATGATTGAAATGTTAAAGCTGAATTCCAAGAATGCAACAACTTTGTAAAAAGAGAAGGCACTCTGTGTGTTAAGTCCAACAAGGTGCTTGCCACCTCCTGGACTTATCTCTATTATTTATATCTGACAGGTTTATTATGCATAGCTTCTGGAGCTTCTCGTGCATCTAATATGCCTGCCCCTCCCCTCCTCCTGCCCAATCATAGAATTTGTATTGTGTGTACTCATTCACATAAATACAAAGGCTTCTGTGAATGGGCAGGGAGGGGTGGGCATAGCTGCTTTCTGTACTTCTCTCCTCTTACAGACTCAAGTGTGGAGTGTATCCTCCAGCAGTGTCATAAACATGTCAGATATAAATATTAGAGATAAGCCCACATGTGGCAGGCAGCCATTAGATAATAGTGTGCTTCCACTTTTTACAAAAGTGCTGAATTTGTTGGATTCAGCTTTAGTATGATCAAGGGTGATTGCACTAGTACACAAGTCAAATAGGAGACTCAACTTTCTTTACTCTAGTTTTTAGGTGATTCACAGTCAAATTCAAAAACTGCTCCTCTTATGTGTGGAGACAGAAGGGTCTCCTATTTCCTCTCTTTCTACTTTCAATTTTTTAAGTCAGGAGTGAAAAGTGCTGGGACTTCTGACCTGAACACAGGGATTCTACCATGACAGATATAAAATGTCAGCTGAAACTTTATCTATAGTGCTCCAAGGCCTACTATAGTGGAGGTACACTTCTCTGCAAATCTGATAAGTCCGATGGCTTTACATGCATGTGCTTGTACTATAAAACTGTAAAGTACCAGCACTTTCCCTTGATCTGTGAAGGTCTGTCTGGGATTATCTCATGCCATAGCCAATATCAATTTAGGTGTAAGCACTGGAGTTTCTTCTGAGAATAGAAAGGAATTTCTGTCCATCACTGGTGCAATCTTCTTTCTGAAGACTAAATAGATTGCGATATAATATGTAGTCCTTGCCCTGACCCCTTTATTTTATAACTTCCCTTCTAACATACTGCGTACCTTGCTTGAGGGACATCAATGTTTGATGATACCACCTTGCGCTTCTGTTCCAGCAGACAGACTGATCTTGTACCTTCTTGACTCCCTTCCTGTTCAAGTTCGATTATTCTGCTAGAGCTTCTCAATACCATGTAGGAAGCATCCTTCATTTCTTCAGTGATTTTGGGATCCAAGCCGTGACCTCTTCTGATGTTCACTGGCTGCTCCTTTGCTTCCCAGTTTTTCTTATCACGTGTTATCTGCAAAAAGGATTCAGTATTTATAACTTTAAAGGAAAACCACACTTTTAACACTGAAAACAATGCAATATATACAATATGCAGTAGCTGTCACTCTAGACACAGGTTATAATCTAGATTACTGAAACAATGTAAATTAGCAGTTTGTGCAGTAACCCAAAGTAACCAACTAGAGCCTTATGTATTAACATAGCTATCAATCAAACCTGCTCTGAAACTGAGCTCGAAACTAACGGATGGCAATGGAGAAATAACTCCACTTCTTAGCAGTCACTAATTGATACAAAAGGCCTTCTGAGTTAGCTGTAACCAATTTACCATTATATTTGACTAAACATTGATTATGCATTGGTTTCTTCACAAACATGGTCATTGTATTTCCAATGCAGTAAATACATGTAGGACATAAAATGGATTTTCTTTAATGCTGAAGTGTAATGCAAACATATACAGTGGGGCAAAAAAGTATTTAGTCAACCACCAATTGTGCAAGTTCTCCCACTTAAAAAGATGAGAGAGGCCTGTAATTGGCATCATAGGTAGACCTCAACTATGAGAGACAAAATGAGAAAAAAAATCCAGACAATCACATTGGCTGATTTGGAAAGAATTTATTTGCAAATTATGGTGGAAAATAAGTACCGTATTTTTTGCTTCATAAGACGCAAAAGGGGGGAAAATGTCAGTGCGTCTTATGGAGCGAATATGGAGCGGCCGGTCCGTTATTTCCACCGCCGCCGTGTCAGAATACCGGTCCGGCCGCTCAGCTCTGCAGTGGGACCTTACCTGTTCCTCTATCCAGCGGCGCGCTGTCTTCCTGCCTTCTGTAGTGTGCGTGACAGCCGGGTCCCAAGTACGCATGCGCAAGAAGCGGTGCTCTTTGTGAATGGTAAGGCGGTACCTGGGACACATGACAGATCCCAGAAGCCGCCGGACCAATCACAAAGCGCAGCGCTTCTCGCTCATGAGCACTGGGCATCCGGCTGTCCGCTGAGCGCCCACACTACAGAAGCCGGGTAGATAGCGCGCGGCTGGATAGAGGAACAGGTAAGATCAAAGAACAACCCTGCGGAAGTGGGAGTGGGTACCTGTCAAATTCAGGTACCCGCTCCCCCTCCCTCCCCAAAGGTCAGCAGTGTCCATCTCCTGTACTGTCCGTCTGGTCATCTCCTGTACTGTCCGCAGTCTCTGGTCATCCCTGTACTGTCCGCAGTCTCTGGTCATCTGTCCACAGTCCTGTACTGTCCGCTATGTCCGCAGTCTCTGGTCATCCCTGTACTGTCTGCAGTCTCTGGTCATCCCTGTACTGTCCGCTGTGTCCGCAGTCTCTGGTCTCTGTGTCCGGTCATCATCCCTGTACTGTGTGTCCGCAGTCTCTGTTCATCTCCTGTACTATGTCCACAGTCCAAAATTATTCTGGTCATCTGTACTATGTCCGCAGTCTCTGGTCATCTCCTGTACTGTGTCAACCCGCAGTCTCTGGTCATCTCCTGTACTGTGTCCGTAGTCTCTGGTCATCTCCTGTACTGTGTCCGCAGTCCAGTTCTGGTCATCTCTTTCTGTACTGTGTCCGCAGTCTGGCCTGGTCATCTCCTGTACTGTGTCCGCAGTCTCTGGTCATCTCCTGTGAAGAGAACTGTGTCCGCAGTCTCTGGCCATCTCCTGTACTAGGTGTCCGCAGTCTCTGGTCAACTACTATACTATGTCCGCAGTCTCTGGTCATCTCTTGTACTATGTGAAGAGAAATCACATCTTCTTTCTGACCACGACCAGTTTGTAGCAATAAATTCTAGAAGGAGCTGAGTATCACAGTCATTTTGCCCTAATTTGCTTATTATGCTTCAGCACCTGTATAACCCTCTGTTCTCAGAGTGGTAGTCTTTGTTGAAATAATGTGGCAATGAAGAAACCACATAAAACCATTACTACAGTATTAACATAAACTAATTGATTACAGTGCAGGCAGTCCCTGGTCATCTCCTGTACTGTGTCCGCAGTCTCTGGTCATCTCTGCTGTACTGTGTCCGCAGTCTCTGAATAATTGTCATCTCCTGTACTATGTTCTGCAGTCCATTAGTTCAGTCCCTAAACCCCTTTTTTTTCCCTGTTTTCCTGTCCTCTAAATCTAGGTCCGCGTCTCTTATCTGGTCAGGTGCGTCTTATGGAGAGAAAAATACGGTATTTGGTTAATATCAAAAGTTCATCTCAATATTTTGTTATATATCCTTTGTTGGCAATGACAGAGGTCAAACGTTTCCTGTAAGTCTTCACAAGGTTGGCACACACTGTTGCTGGTATGTTGGCCCATTCCTCCATGCAGATCTCCTCTAGAGCAGTGATGTTTTGGGGCGGTCGCTGGGCAACTCCCTCCAAAGGTTTTCTATGGGGTTGAGATCTGGAGACTGGCTAGGCCACTCCAGGACTTTGAAATGCTTCTTACGAAGCCACTCCTTCATTGCCCGGGCGGTATGTTTGGGATCATTGTCATGTTGGAAGACCCAGCCACAATTCATCTTCAATGCCCTTGCTGATGGAAGGAGGTTTGCACTCAAAATCTCACGATACATGGCCCCATTCATTCTGTCCTGTACATGGATCAGTCGTCCTGGTCCCCTTGCGAAGAAACAGCCCCAAAGCATGATGTTGCCACCCCCATACTTCAAAGGTATGGTGTTCTTTGGATGCAACTCAGCATTCTCTCTCCTCCAAACACGACGAGTTGTGTTTCTACCAAACAGTTCTATTTTGGTTTCATCTGACCATATGACATTCTCCCAATCCTCTTCTGGATCATCCAAATGCTCTCTAGCAAACTTCAGACGGGCCCGGACATGTACTGGCTTAAGCAGGGGGACACGTCTTGCACTGCAGGATCTGAGTCCCTGGCGGTGTAGTGTGTTACTGATGGTAGCCTTTGTTACGTTGGTACCAGCTCTCTGCAGGTCATTCACTAGGTCCCCCCGTGTGGTCCTGGGATTTTTGCTCACCGTTCTTATGATCATTTTGACCCCACGGGGTGAGATCTTGCATGGAGCCCCAGATCGAGGGAGATTATCAGTGGTCTTGTATGTCTTCCATTTTCTAATTATTGCTCCCACAGTTGATTTGTTCACACCAAGCTGCTTGACTATTGCAGATTCAGTCTTCCCAGCCTGGTGCAGGTCTACAATTTTGTTTCTGGTGTCCTTCGACAGCTCTTTGGTCTTCACCATAGTGGAGTTTGGAGTGTGACTGTTTGAGGTTGTGGACAGGTGTCTTTTATACTGATAACAAGTTCAAACAGGTGCCATTGATACAAGTAATGAGTGCAGGACAGAGGAGCCTGTTAAAGAAGAAGGTACAGGTCTGTGAGAGCCAGACATCTTGCTTGTTTGTAGGTGACCAAATACTTATTTTCCACCATAATTTGCAAATAAATTCTTTCCAAATCAGCCAATGTGATTGTCTGGATATTTTTTCTCATTTTGTCTCTCATAGTTGAGGTCTACCTATGATGCCAATTACAGGCCTCTCTCATCTTTTTAAGTGGGAGAACTTGCACAATTGGTGGCTGACTAAATACTTTTTTTCCCCACTGTATAACCCTCCCTTGCCCCTACATCAACATGCAATGAAACATTTTCAATCAAATTATTTTGTTTTCATGAAACACCTCTTTTGAGACTCAGTGAGATCATCGTTGAGTTTTTCTGTTGGCCGTAGCAAGATCGAGTTTGGCGAGAAAGGCTTGAAGATGCCTATAAACATCACAGAAACCTTCCTTGAGTGTTATATGAAAGGACAGAACCCTGGCATCCCTTTTAGAGTGCATTCCTGCTGGCTGCTGGATGCAGTCAACTAGTTGTGATTAGGGGGTAAAAGATGTAGAACCTCTGTTAACTTTATCTGTGTTCCATAGAAAAAGATATTTGGGAAAAACTGAAGACTGAGATTGAGCTCTGGAGTCACTTTTGCAGCAGTTATTTTCTTATTCTGGGTCACAATCTTGTACAATGTCCTTTTGTCTCTTTTGGTCAGCTGACCATGTTGACTGTGCATTTGCGTATAAGACGACGTTTTGCCGTAAACAGTATATGCCAACATAACCTTTGATACTCTACCTTATGACGCAGCAAATAAACTGGCAACTTCAGTCACAGAGGAACCAGCCAACAATTTGCCTGCTTTGAAGCTCAGTAAGCTCTAAATGACTCCGTATAACTAGCAGTGAATGATGAAAATGAGGCTTCCCACCGGTTAGCTAGGTGTCTCATCACACAGTGGAAGCAAAAGAATGTTATATCACTTCTGCTTTCAATGCAAAACATGTTGTCACTTTCACGCCAGCAAATCATGTAGTGTCGACATTTTTTGTCCAACCCCTGCATATGGTTAATGATAGCACTGTCTTTATCCTATTAGGAAAATTTGTATTTTTAATCTCTGAGCACAAATAATCTTTTTTTTTCTCTCTCTACAGTTGATCTTTGCACTGTGAGCACTCTCATGTGCATTGTTAGGCTGGCCATACATTATACAATTTACTTTCCTTCAACCAAGGGTTGAAGGAAAGAAAAAAGCTAGATTGCCGCTATTGTATTCCGACATCAGGAGGTTTTCCAGCTGTCAGAACACAATGATCATTGCCACCATGATTGAATGAAAAAAACGTGACAGGCTGGTTGTACTGAAGTCGATTGATAGGTATAACCAGCCTGACCACAGATTGATAGAAATGCATCTGGTTCTTGTTGAACTGCCCAAAATGTGATCCGTCTATGGCCGGCTTTATCTGTAGCCTTCCCATCCCTCTGTTACAATCTAAATTACCTGTAGTTCATCTACTCTATCTGGCAGCACAAGTAGTTTTAAAAGTATAAAGGATAGCCCCATAAGTGCATTACCAATCTGTCAGTGCTGATACATTTACTATAGTAAGTAAAAGATGTAAAGGGTTAGTTCACCTTTACCAAAAAACTTCCTATGCAGATAAGGGGCGCCTGTGATGATAGGGTTGAAGAGTAACAGCTAGGCTTCTCTTAGCAACATCCTAATAGTTTTCCTGTCAGGCTTCATGAGGTACATAAATGGCCTACATCTATAGCAAGGGCATTATTCAATTTGTTCAAAGCTGCACAGTTTGTTTCTTATCTATAGACACCCTTTATCTGCATAGGCAGTTTTTTTGGTAAAGGTCAACTAACCCTTTATGCATTTTTAGTAATTAACAGTTGTACACATTCTAAGCAAGCAGAAAAGGAACATATAGTAGATCTCTGAGTGGGTATATTCTATGCCACAAACAGCCCACCTATCATTAACAGAAGAAATCTAAACCTACTGTATGTAAAGTGAGAAATATCATGAAATCCCAAAACCCCCAGGCACCTTTATCGTTGTCCAATACCAAACTCAAAAGGGTTTGGAAAAGACTCTAGGTAAAACAGAAAAATCATCTAAAGATTCTTTCATAACAAAGATAAATTAAGAAAGCATGCCAGAAAAAAAGAAATATGGCATTTCATTGTTTAACATGTAAATTATGGAATGTAAGTTTCTTTCTTTGCAACTAGAAGCTATTAATCCATGTCTGTACATTACAGAACAAGGAGCGATAAGTGCTGGAGCCAGTGGCTTGTGTTGATTATCTTCTGTGTCTATTATAATTAATACGACTTGCAGACTGTGAGTTTACATTGAATAAAACATTTTCCTGAATGTGACTTTTTTTTTTATTAAGTTAGCAAATGGCACATTGCTGATAGCTCACCGCTCATTAGTAACTGTAACACCTTTGCTGTGATTCACTGCAATTATATGAGAAATAACATATTGTAAATGTACCACACAGTTTCTGCTTTGACTTTGTCACTATTTTAGTGGATGATTTACAATGTTACCATGGCTAGATTTAACCAGCTGATCCATGTGGGCATCACTATTGCTTCCATAATATTAAAGTGCATTTTATCCACTGCAGCATGCTGTAGACTAGAGTGTTTGTAAACCCCAACCAGGGGCAGACTGACAACTCATGAGGCCCCCCCGGGCAATAGGGGATCATGGGGCCCCTGTGTCCTTGCCCAAACTCAAAAAAGCCTATGAAAAAGGTACCAGGGGCATCTCATGGGGCCCCCTACTGTCCCCGGGCCCTCGGGCAGTGCCCAAGTTTCCAAATGGTCAGTCCGTCCCTGACCCCAACTATGAACTATTTGCTCCCTTTTGTTCTGTTACATATACCATTGAAAGGGTTTTGTTATCTGTTCAATAAGTGCAGAAAAATATCTGTTGATTCTGCCAGAAATGCAAAGAGCTTGTAACTTCCGGTGGACTCTTTACTGCACTCCAAGAATTACATAATACTTTATATTATGGAGATGAGGAGACAAGGGGTGTTCTGCAGTCCAAATCAGGAGGAAGAAGGCTTTGTTCACCAAGCTGCTCCTCCATAGATACAGCACTGTTGAGTAAGAGTTGTCACCCTAGGACAGGAAGTGTGTTACTGGCAGGATCACCATACAAAGATGAAATAGGAGGAGGATGGGTAAGCAAAAGTTCATTGAGTAATGCCAAAATGCCAAAAGTGATTACCTCACAACACCTCTATTTAAAGTGGAACTAAACCCATCAATTTAAATGTTTCCAAAACAGTTACATTCAAGGCATGCTGTGAATTATAACTGTCACAGTTGTTTGTGCTGTAAACTGAACTGCCAAGCCATCAACTGGCTGGTGTCAGCTGATCACACGTGTAGCACCATGGCAACTGTAGACCAAATATCAGCTTCTTGGCTGTAAAGATAGGAGGGTTTAGTTCCCTTTTAAGAGCCTATGTATAGCTTTTGTTCACATCGGAAGTGCTCCCCCCCCATACAGGTCAACTGGATAGTAAAAGCAGCTTGAAAGAGATTAATTCAAGTCAGAAGGTCACAGGTCAAAATGTCAGGGCTCAAAATAGTGATGACCTTAGGTTAGATCAATGTTGCTGACCTAATTTGGCCAGGTGGCAATATTAGGTCAATGATGTCATAAGCATCCCCATCCCTTTATATACATACAGCTGCAGGGTGGAGAATCTCCTTGACCGAGTAATGACTGCTCCTATGTTTGGACCAAACCCAAAACTGAATCACTAGCAAACCGATCTCTTAACACATTGCCCAAAAGCATGCACCAAGCACAAAA